AAAAAAAATAAAAAAGTGTTGCAGCAAGCAAAAAGTTACGAATTAATAAAAACCAAATCTGTTTTTATTTTATTATTTGTAAACATTTTTGTTTTAGTTATACGAATAAAAAAACGTCTAAGAAATGGTCAATAAAAATTTATTGAGCTAAATTTTCTTAAGCAGTACAAAGTGTTTAAGAAATTTTCGTAGGGGTTGCTAAAGTGTGTTAGTGAAGAGTACAACAGCAGGCTGTAAAATATCAGATGTCAAAACTCTTTGGACGCTATAATTAACTCATACGAAATAATAGCATTTCATTTCTTCACCGCTTTTTTTTTAAAGGTTCGTACTTGACTTTATTCATTGAAATAAGCAAAATAAGTATGATCGTTAAAATTAAGCTTGGAAACCCTGAATAAGCAAAATAAGCAATTCCAAGCAAAAGCTTAAACTTTTCGGCCCTGGGGATGTGATTTCATGTGATGTAATTTGAAGTGATGTGATAGGATGGCATGTCATGCCAAATGATGTCATATCAAGGGATGTTCTGTCATATGAAGTCCCATCATGTGTATCGATCAAAATATCGATAACAAAGCCCATAAAATTATCGATGGCATGGAATGTGAAAATACCGATAGTAAAATCGATAACAGGATCGATAACAAAATCGATAACGTATGGATTATTGTATCGATAAGTTCCGACAATCCGAAAATAGTTCACAGGTTGAGTCTCTGTGTCTATATCCTTTTCTTTATACATACATATGTATTTACCTTTTTATTTTATTTTAATCTTTATTCCTCTGTCTGTGCATCAGTAACAAAATCGATAGTAACATCAATAAAAATAACGCAAAGAAACCGATCAAATTATCGATAACAAACTCGATAAACAATATCGAAAGCAAAACCGATACCAAAATCTATAAAAATATCGATAACAAAATCGACTAATATATCGATAAGTTAGTATAATACCGAAAATCTCGAAATCGTTCCCAGGTTGGGTCTCTGTGTCTCTATCTATATCTTTTTCTTTATAATTAACTTTACTTTAATCCTTTTTCCTCTATCTTTATTTTTAATTTTATCGGTTTCCTCAGCCTCACCTCATCTTTTTGTTTATTTTCGTTTTTACTTTCATGTTTATCATTTTCTTCATCTACATATTTCCCTTCACTTTTGCCCTTATGTAAGCAAAGTCTTTAATCAAAAAACCAAACAGTGCATCGATGAACTTATTTCGACTTTAAGGCTGTGTGCGAACTGACCTAAATTTTAGTACCTAAACTAATCATCCATTGGAAACTTGCAGCACTGCTACAATAATAGGAAAATAGCTGCTAAAACTGTGCAAATTATTTTGACAACCTAAATGTGTGGACGTGGTTCGTCTTCTTCCATTGATTCTAACAGTTAAAATTTGTTTTTGTGCAAATTAATAGGGCGGGCTAGGCGGTGGCAAAAGTGGATCTTTTAATATTTTCAAATGCATATATATTTCGCGAATTAATGAACCTTCCGCTGTGGTGTAGTGGTAAGCAGTGCGCGCTTTCACGCATCAACACCTGGGTTCAAGCCTTGGACAAAGCAACATCGCAAAAAATATATAAAAAGGTTTTTTCTTTCACATTTAACACTATTCTATTTCATTCGAACTCCAAAATTCGTTTAGCGATAATTCGGTATTATACCTTTCAGTCCACATTTTAATGTGAATAGGTTTGTTCGTCAAGCAAAAAATTTGTACGAATTTGTACGAATTATCACGATTTTTGCCCAAATCGCGTTCGTGCAGACCAAAAAATTATCCAACACTCAAAAATTGTGAGAGCAAAGTGACAGTTCTCTTGGAGAGAAGTTGCAAATTCTTGCTGGAAAAAATTTTGCCAGCAAGAATTTGCAAACACGAAAAACATGTGGTTGTGGCGCATGGTTGCATTTTTGTCTACAATAATTTGAATAAATTAGTTCGTTAAATTTAAAAATTTATAAACACGAGCGATTTTTTTATGAAAAAAGGAAGTAAATAATTGTTGATATAATTAATTTAGTTAATTCCAATGATTTGAACTTAATTCGGCTGAAAAAAATGGTATTCGCAATCGGAATGCAATTGCAACCAGAGTCGATTTAAGAAACCCGACAGCTAGTACGATGAAGAATTTGAAATGTATGTTAAAGAAAGTCAGAACAACAAGAAATATACATGTATATCCTGTTTTTGACCATCCGAAAGAATTTTAAAAATTCTATAAAAATTGTTTATGTTTGAAATGCAACCGTGGACGCCAGCTGGCAGGGAAACTTGCAAATTCCTGCAAATTTGCGTTCGTGCAGAAATTTGCAAGTTTCTCAACATGAGAGAATTTGAGAGAATTTTTTCTTACTCTCTGATATTTTGAGTGTTGGATAATTCTTGCTGGATTTTCGACGAACAAACCTAATGTTGTACTTAATAAGCACACCATCTAAATATATTTTAAATTTGTAGCTTAAAATATTAAAATATGGAAACAAATTCTGACTCAAGCTCGTCTTCTTCTGAAACTGAAATGGGTTACAAAACTGCATACTCCATTTTTTTGTTTATTTTTTAATTCGGATCAAAAAGTTTATATTTTGATGAATAGTTTTTCAGTTTTATAAATTTTTCTTTTTCTTTGGAACGTCAACTTACATGGTTTTTGTTATAGAATTAAATATATTTTTATAAAAAACTTAAATTAAGTAAGGAAAGAAAAAATTGCAAAACTTGTCGATACATTTTACAACTATTTTTTGTGAACATAACTACATAACTACATGCATACGTAATACGTTAAATTTGTTTTAAACTAATGAATTGTTATATTGATAATACCAGGGACCGCACATAACGATTATTTTTGAAATTTCAACTCAAAAAATCACACTGAAAGAGAAATGCTACGCGCATAAGGAGTAAACCCAGTGTTGCCATCTTTTGATTTTCAAAAAGCACCAAAAACTTGGAAAAAAAGCGTTTTACCACACTAAAAGCACCACATTTTTTTGAATCAAATTTTTTATCAATTATGGTTGTATTTTAGTCCATTTAAATTTGTAGATTCTTGTAAATTCAGTGCTGCCACAGCCTTAAATATTTCAAATTATTTCAGGTTTTAACTATCTCGAAGTAATTTTAGTTCAGAAAAAAAGCACTAAAAAAGGCACTAGGCACTAAATAATTTTTTTTGGCGTTTTTATTTTCAAAAAGCACTAAATCTAGTGCTTAAAGCACTAAGTTGGCAACTATGAGTAAACCAACATATTTCTTATTACTCGGAATACCTTGATCTGTGGCCTGTCTATGGCTCGCTTAAGTGATGATACACCACAAAGGCCAGCGTTTTTATTAGGTAAAATGCATTCAAGCGCGGCCGTACTTCGCTTGTCGATGCACAAGTAGGTGGTGCAATATCGGTTTGTACGGTGTTGTAGTTTCATTCGCGTACCTGATAATTATTTGGCCTGTTCGATAACCTGATAATTATTACAAATGAAGGGGTTAGAATCATAACCCATATTTGTATAGTTAAATATAGTCTTTATTTGGTGACATAGAGTAAACATTCTTTGAATTAGTTAATTAACCTGCATTCATTTAATTATCTAAAAATAATTCAGATCTACTTTCAGATCCTTTTGATTCTAACCCCTTAAAATTATCAGTAACTGGCGTTTGCGTATGCATAAAGCTTGCAATCTAGCGAAAATTGTGCGGACAAAGTGAAATTTGTGTTTGAGGGGATTTGGCTTGTGCATTCTTTGATGGAAAAATGTTCGCCACCAGCAATTTGTCAGCAAGCTGGCTGGAATTTACGCAAATCACAAAATTGAATTTTATGAATGTTTGATGGGCTGGAAGTTAAAAAGGATAAAATTAGACTTAACTTGTAAGAAGTAAGTAATTATTCCTTTTGTCCAGTGCCAGACAACCAGTAGCCTCACGAGCCTATGTGTACTATGTATGTGTGTGTGTATTTGCCTGGCACTGCTCTAGTCAATAAACTGTGTCAGGATAACACTTTATGATCAGTTTTTTAAGGTTTGCAATTTTACACTTTTGAATGTAACAAAATTCTATGTCTATAGGTGGCCTCAGGCATAACGATACTACCGGTGCGATACGATATCGTATTCGATGCGATAACGGTAAAAAGCACAAGGCCCTCACACAGGTGCGATACGGTACACTGCGGTGCTTCATCTTTCTTATGGCAATCTTTATATTCCCAATACTTCAAATCATCTTCAAAATTCAAATTACAACGAAACTTCACCAAATTGGCCGCTTACATCAAATCATTTGCCGAATTCACTGTATTCGAAAAATCAGAGGCAGTAACGAAGCCAATGAAAAAAGTGTGGGTTTATTGGTAAAATATGCATATGTGAATTTTTTGCATATAGGTGGTTAAAAAAATATACATTCAAATGAACTAAAATTAGACGAAGTTTTTTTTTTATATATTTCTCCCATTTATTACACATGAAGTTGAATATTCATTTTTTTTTTCTATGCAATATTGATTGTAATGTAATCATAGGTGTCTTTTTTTAATGGAATAATCGTAATTAGTATTGACAAATACTTTTAAACACATAAAAATATTGTTTTGCGTTTTGATTTGATATTATTTGAATAACTATTGATTAAGTGAACATTGAGAGTTGATATTTCGAATATGTATGCAGTAAAGTGATATATGTATTTATATATTGGTGTAGTCTGATATAATGGATTTCTATTTATTAAAATATGCAAATGTAGCTATTGATTTCGTTGCTGTATGTAGCACAGTATGATTGGAGTCTATTGGAAATATCGAGCGATAAAAATGTATGGTTTCAAACTCGCCAAACTTTCGTTTTTTTTTTGTGCTCTACAACATATTTCACAATGCTGTGTGCACAGTGTCAATAACAGTGACGGTATTAGACCCTGCCTTTTTTTTACATATATTTTACTTGGTTCTTAAAAATGTTGTAATCTTATTTCCTCTAAATTTTGAGAAAATACATAACACATAAACACTTTATGCCTAGTTCAGCATAACATTTTTTACCTTTTGCTTGTTAGTTCGGGAGCTTCATTTCGCAAGTTATTTAATGACAAAATACATGTAGTTGATTGGAACGCCGATATCACTATTGGTAAATCGCAAGTTTTGAAATGACACAAAAATACCCCTAAACCCCGAAACACGTGAACTTAATATAGGGTCGAAGATAACGGATCTACTATATACCGTTTTTAATTTTTATGGAAACAAATTTAATAAAAGAAAATTTAACTGAAAAGAATTAAAGCCTGCTCTTTTGCAAAAAATTAAAGCTACTAATGATGAAAATAGATGGATAAATAATCAAGTTGTGAATCTTCAAATGAAAATGTGGAATAATTTTTTGTATGAAATAGGGGCAGGAAATAATGTTACTTATACGCCATATCGTACATGGCTGAACTTGTGCAAAAAATCTTGAGGAAAATGGCCTGATTGGGAAATTCACCTGTTTTGGGGGTTTTTGGTGTCATTTTAGCGGCCCTACAGTGTTGTTCAAGCAGTTTATTGAAGTGACATACTGTTCACATAGTACCTGGGATTTTCTATTTAACAGGCCTCTAACTGAGACACTATCAAACTAATTTTCGTCCATTTTTAAGGTGTATTTATAACCGGTATCTCAGGATTCAACATAACCAGAGCCCGAATCACGGCTTCTAAATTGAATGAAACTCATTTTGAGATTCTTTTATTTCATTTGATTCTAGCAGCGAATTTCATGACAGCAATTTAAGTGAAAAATCGTTTTAATTTTATGAATTTTATATGGAAATTGACAGAAAATAAAAAATCATTTTCCATTTAAATTGCTCGTGAAACCGGATGTAAAGGAGTAATCATTCGATCACGTATATCATGATTCGGGCCGTGATCGACTTGAAAAAATCCGGTCAGTGAACAACGTCCTGTTCCAACAACCCAAAGAAACCTTTTAATCACTTCAAAAGCCCCTTAATCAATCACCTGATTTGGCTCCGTGCGAATTCTTACTGTTCCTACGTCTGCGATGTTGATGAAATTTAGTTTTTGAATTTATGGGGTCACCTGGACAGGTATATGCTTAAGTTATACCTGGTAGGTGGCGCCGATGTTAAAATATTTGAAAATTTGGTATTTGTAGTTCGATTTGACTTATTTCTTAAACGTACACTAAAGTAAACAACAATTGTATAAAAATTGATCCGATAGGTGGCGCTGGAATCGATATATTATATAAACAGATGTGGATATTAGCCAAGTTCATACATGTACAGGAATATTGATTTTTACACAAAAATTTGGCAAGTTTCTGGCAAATGAGCGTAAGTACGAAATTCGTCACAAAAAAAAGGGAAACTGCCCAGAAGAACGGGAACGCAAAAAACCCATTTTCGTGCCGAAACTAAATGTAAAAGGATTAAATTAGTTGCACAAATGATACAGAAAAATATGTGATAAATGCGTATTTTTAATTTTTCTTCTTCTGGCAATTTAACAAGCTTGCCCGCAAAAAAGTCCGAGCGATCTCAGGCTGATTTGAGACACCAATTACTCTCTCAAACAGCCCGACAGCCGGCAAAAGAAACAGCCGGCGACGTGGAAAAAAAAACCAGACCCAATGAATAATTTGTCAATGTCGCGTAATCTTCGAACTGAGGAATTCTTACATACATATGTTTACTAATCGGATTATTTTTCTAGCCTGAGTACTATTCTCTGATCGACGCTTACGTCCAACACATTTGCTTCATATGTTGTAGAGCGCAAAATCGGTGATTTGTTATCGTTATGTGGTTATTATGTATTGTAATGCAAGTTTATTACTCAAATGTTACAAATAAATTATTTGGCAATAAAGAAGATGTTTTTAATAGTTTGGTTCTATATTTTGATGCTGTTTATAACTAAACATATTCATACATATAATTTTGCATATTTTTATGTGAGAATGAAATTAAATTTTAAAATTAAAGAGTACGCAAAGAATATGTATTTTAAAAAATAACATAAACACAAAATTAAAAGTGTAAGTTGTATTAATTGTTTGTTGCGTTGCTGCCAGTTGTGCTGGACAATTGCCCAGGTACGGAGAATTGTGGTCTGAATGAAGCGAAATTTCCTGCTGGGCCACCAGCGAAAGCGGGCAAGGTGGTGCCTTGGAAACCGGCTGGAAACTGCGCCATTAGTTGGGCTGTAAGGAAAACGAAATATTTAAGTTAAACAATAAAATAAACAAAACACACAACACAAAATTACATACCCGCATTAGATGTATTGCCCGCTGTGGCAGCCAAGCGCGAGAGTATCGAGCGCTCAGACATCTGCAGGCGTTGCGCCACGGGTGGTATGCGCGCCAATGTGGCAGGTAAACGCGAAACATCGCTCTTCATATCGGACAGCAGCTCCTCCAACTGATTGAGCACTTTGTGCAGCACAGCGTTGGCTGGCTTATTGCCGGCCAGCGATTCCTTGCTCAAGTGCTGATGCGACTCGGCGAGACATTCGACTTCAGCGAAGCGTGCATTTAGCGACATTGCCGGATGATTTGGATCTTGTGTCAAATTAAGGAATGCCGCGCGTCGCAATTGCTCCTCAATAACCAATGCCTGCTCGAGCAGTTTAAAGCGACGCGCCAAAAATTTATTCTTTATCTCCAAGAAGTTTCCTTTACCAACATCCATTTTGAAAGGTTCATTGATGATAGCAAAGCGTATGTCGTTTTGTATGTCTTGCCAGCGGCCGTAACCATGTGTGACAATGCCCGCCAGCAGCCAATAGTCGTGGCGCCGATGCCAAATTTCATACTCACGCCCTGGCACGGCGGCCTTCTCCTCGTTCAGCCAGAGAGTGTGTAACTCGGTGAAGCCACCATCGGCGATGTTGAACATAAATTTGCGTTTTAACACTTCGAGACTCTCTTCGATCTTCGGTTTTTGTTCCTTACCATTAGCGGCAGTGGTGCCAAGCGAGCCACTCGATGTGTTGGCCGATGTGGTGGGTTTCTCCAATTCACCATCTTCTTTGACGATCATCACGTCGTCATCGTCGTCGTCGATAATTGTCGTGGTTGGCTCTTCTTTAGGCTTCTGTTCTGGCTTACTTTCGTCCTTTACGGCATTGGTTGCATCTTTCTTGGAGTCTTTAGCGTCTTTAGATGAGCCACCGTCGCCGTCGTCTTCATTCTTTAATTCACTGCCGCCACCTTCGGTGGTCTCCATTTTGACATCTTTTCCAAGCTCGCCTTCAGTTTTATCTTTTTCTTCGCTCTTCTCGCTTTTCGCATCACCGCTCGATGATGAGACCTCAACCTTCTGTTCATCCTTTATCTCACTACTCAATTCAGATTTCTGCTCGTTAGCATCGCCACTTAAAGCATTGCCGGACTCGTTTTCTTTTTTAATATCATCATTCGCCGTCTTGTCTTCGCCCTTTTCCGATGCTGGTGCGGGGCTTGGCGCAGCACTCGTAGCCGGTGTGGCGCTAGTGCTCGTCGTAGCGCTCTTGTCTTCAGTTAGCTTTGCACCTTCAGCCTCTCCACCCGCTGCAACTGGCTGACCATCAATCAGCTTCGGCAGGCCACCGATTTGACCGCGCACAGGCTCACACGGCTTCAGTATTAGCTCGGGCATGCTATAGTAGCCGTTGATGTGTTCAAACTCCTGCACCTTCTTGCGTATCAACGACATGACGCCAATGCGTGTCAACACATGTTGACGTGATAAACCTTCACGCGGCACGCCATCAGCAAACGCCTCAGCGTTATCTGCGCCCGGCTCGCATAGATGACGCATAAAGAGCGACACATAAGCCTTGAAGTTGCGCTCGGATTTTCCGCGCAAATCTCGCACCAGCCACTGTGAGTTGAAGGCATCCTGTGGCGGCATGCCGAAGCGCATGATTGCGTTTAAGAAACTCTTGCGTTGACGCGCATTGAAACCCAGCACTTCAATGTTGCCGCCGACACGTGCCAACAAGGGCGGCAATGGACGGTCGTCGCGGCGTTCCACACGACGCTTGGCTTTGCGGCCGTCTACAGCGCCATTCTGCTCATCGAAATCGTCATCGCCGCCATCCTCTTCTGAGCCGGCCGAATAATCGGAATTGTATTCGGAAGTATTATCTTGCCAATTGCCATCGTCGCGTGTTGTATCCGCTGGCACAACGCCACCATCGGTATAGTTGACCTGCTTGCGCACACGCTTACCTTTGCCGAGTGTGCGGCTGACATCTTCCTGATGCTGCTCGTAGTGGTGGCGCAACAGCTTTACCCAATATGCCGGATCAGAGTTTTCGGCTTCCTGTTTAATGATTTCCGTCTCCTCTTCCTCATCCTCTTCTTTGGTGGCATACGAGGCCACCTTAAATGAGGACAAATACTCATTAGCCCACGACTCCTTCTCTTCAATACCACGATTCGAGCGATCAAGCAACTCAGCCACAGCCCTGTCATCGTAATGAATTGCCTCTTCCTTATCGCCATCTTCTTTGAACAGCTCCTCCGTACCGAAACGTAGAATATCATCCAATTCTTGCTTAGTGAAGTTCGCGCCTTTACCGCCCATGCCAGGTCGCACCACCAAGTGGGTCAACATCATCTTACGCTTGGCCACCTGTGTAACACGCTCCTCCACTGAGTTACGCGTCACAAACCGATATATCATAACTTTGTTCGCCTGGCCAATACGATGAGCGCGTGAAAATGCCTGAATGTCGTTGTGTGGATTCCAATCTGAGTCATAGATGATGACCGTGTCAGCTGTAGCCAAGTTAATACCCAAACCACCGGCGCGTGTACTGAGCAAGAAAACGAATTGTTGTGCGCCGGGCGCATTGAAACGATCGATAGCCTCCTGACGCAAGCTGCCTGTAATACCACCATCAATGCGCTCATACTTGTAACCCTCGCCTTCGAGAAAATCTTCGAGTATGTCTAACATCTTGGTCATCTGCGAAAAGATTAGCACGCGATGTCCTTGCTCTTTCAGCTGCTTCAGCATCTTACAGAGTAAAACCAACTTGCCCGCGGCCTTGGTTAGCGCATTTATCTCGTACATGCCACCCAAAGTGGTGGGCGCCTCCTCAGCGGCCGAGGGGAATAAGTAGGGATGGTTGCAGCATTTCTTCAGATCCATCATGACGTTGATCAGCGAGCAGGAGTTGCCACCGCTCTTCGAGTTTAGTGCCTCGTAGTTTTTGGTTAAAATGAATTTGTAGAACTTCTTCTGCATAGCCGAAAGTTCCACACGTACAATGAATTCCGATTTCGAGGGCATATTCTTTAGCACATCGGCTTTGAGACGACGCAGCATGTGTGGTCCGAGCATTTCGTGCAAACGCTTAACCTGTTCCTCTTTCGACACATCGGCAAATTCATTCTGGAAAGCATTCAAGTCGCTAAATTTGTCTCGACTAAGGAAGTTCAGCAGATGGAACAATTCCTCCAAATTATTTTGCAATGGTGTACCGGTCAGCAGCATTCTGTAAGCGATGTTGTAGCTATTCAATATGCGGAAGAATTTGCTTTGATTACTCTTTAAGCGATGCGCCTCATCCACGACCAGCACCGCCCAGTCAATGGAGCCCAAGCAAGCCGCGTCCATGGAAATAAGTTCGTAGCTGGTCAGCAGTACGTTAAATTTGAATTGCGTGGTGCGCAGGCGCGAAGCTTTGCCGCCACGTATGGCGCCCTCTTCGAAGGATAACTCATTTTCGCGTATAACTGCACGCGAATCCTTGTCGCCCACATACGTTATACAATAAAAATCTGGTGCCCACAACTCGAATTCACGCTCCCAATTAATGATGGTGGAGAGTGGTACAGCAACCAGGAAGGGACCTTTGCAGTGACCCTCTTTATACAGCGAATATAAGAAAGTGACCGTTTGTATGGTCTTTCCAAGACCCATCTCATCGGCCAATATGGTATCGATGCCTTGACCCCAAGAGTAACGCAACCAGTTGATGCCTTCGATCTGGTATGGATGCAGCTGCATCCCAGTTTCATCCAAGAATTGTGGTTGGCCTTCGTATTTTTTCTTCAAGTCGGTAGTTGGTTTATCTGGTGGTGGCGTATAGCGTCGCTGACCGCGATCTTCATCCTCAATTTCCTTTACCTTTGATCTGCGCCCCTTTTTACCCTTTTTGCCGACGCGGGATGTTGTCGACTCTGAAGTGCAGGCCGCACGTAAGTCCTGATAGTAATCAATGGCTTGCTTCAGCCCAGGTATATCATCGGTTTCATCCTCCCACGTCGACTTGTCGTAAGGCAAATCGCGCCACTTCACCAAATACATCGTGGTGCCATCGCGGGCTGTGCGGTGATTAATAACGCGCTGCACAATCAGCCACTCTGGCTTTACACCATTGCGGTAGAAGCGGTCTTCCAGGTCCTTCTTGTACTCTTCATTCTCATCCTCGACCTGTATGCCGCCCTTGGCCTTGTGACGCTGAATACGTTGATAACGCGAATCTGCCTCGTCCAGTGACTCTTCGAACTTTGGCGGCTCCTCCATATCGTATTTACGTTGGAATGAACGTATCATAAGCGGGTGGTGCACATCCATTTGCACTTCGGATACCCATTCGCAATGCCAATAGGACATGTTGTGCCATTTTACAAAGTATTCGCGCATGCGCGCCTTCGGCTTTTTCGAAGTTGAAGGCTCATTCGATTCAACCCAACGCCATGTGATAATTTTCTCAGCCTTGCCCGAGAGTGGCGGACAACTGCAACGTGGACATTTCCAATCGCCATCTGGTATGGTGTCTAAGGGTGGATTGAGACAGAAAGTGTGGTAGGCTGAGGGACACGAATCACAGCACAGCAGTTCGCCGCCATCCTTGCATACGCGACAAAATTCCTGATGCTCATCGTCGTCTTCCTCTTCGGCAGCGCCACCATCAGCCTCACAATGCGGGCACGACCATTTACCCTCGGGTGCTTCATCCAATTCGGGTTCCAAGCAAACCAAATGATAAGCGCGCGGACATGTATCGCAAAGTATAATTTCGCCACCCTGCTGGCAAACTTCACAGTAATCTTGGTGTTCGTGCTCACCCTCCTCGCCATCAGGAAAACGGCTGGTGGTCTTTAGCTTCTTCTTCTTCTTAAACTTATTACCTATCTTTGTTTTGGCTTTCTTGCGCACAACTGGTGCAGCGTCCTCGGTTGTTGCTTCTACTTTATCGGCAGGTGCAGCAGATTCTCTCTCATCGGCGCTATCATCGGATTTTTGTAGCATTTTCTCGAATTCCAAATCAGAATCACGCTCTGAAGCGCCGCTAGCATCCTGATCTTCATCGGAACTACCACGTTTACGTTTGCCAAACTTAATTTTCAATGTTGGTACTTTGCCGGAACGTCGACCTTTTTTGCTGCTCGAACGACCGCCACGCTTGCGGCGCGAACGTGAAGTTTCCTTTTCCTCCTCCTCGTCTTCCTCCTCTTCTTCTTCCTCATAAATATCATCAGGCTAATTAGAGGTAAAAGGATACACATACATATATACATACATACACATATATTTTTGAATATTAAAAATATTGGCATTTACTATTATTCACTTAAACTAGGGAAATGAAATGAGCCAAACTGTTTGCCCTCATTTTTGTAAATTTATTCTAAATAACGGTTTCAAAAGATGAAAATTTTCCTTTCTAAATTTTGCTGTGGCAATTGATTCTGAAGACTGAAACTAAGCGGCATAGGTACCACTTAATCGAAACGAAAATCTCTTCGTTTCGAGGTTGGGACATGAGTTTTTTGAGGTTAGGTAAAACTAATTGATTATGCCGTTATCATTTCTAATTGGCCGGTTACCAAGGCAAAACACATATACGGTGTTTTGAACAAAAAATGTTGATAAAAAATTAATGTGTTTCACCGTGAACGATTGGAATTGAACTTTCGCTAACAATAAAAATAAAAAAACAATTAAATTTTAACAATTTTGGTTACGGTAAAATAAATTCTGAGAGGAAAACTTTTGTCGCGGTTAAGAAATCCGTTATTAGTAAGTTGCCCAACTCGACATCTGACCTTTAGTTATACACAGAGAAACCCTTGCGCACTTTCCAATACTGCATTTTGACATTTTCAAATTCCAAATTAAATACTGCTTAATCGTTTATCTACATATCGCACACCGAAAAACTATTTCTTAGCACATGATAATGATCACATGGGCAAGGGCGACTTTACCTTAGGTTTAGCAAATTATAACAAAAAATTGCTCCAGATTTTGCTGAAAGCAGTGTACGAAAATAAACTATATTGTACGTTACTATTTCGTTTCGTTTATTACTTTAACAGTTTGGTACAATACGAAAACAAAACGGCTGAGTTCACTTTGACGATAGTACACTACAGTAGTTAGTAGTTACATACGAAACACCAAACGAAATGAATCGTCCAGAAAAAAATATATGTATGTATGTACATATATGCAATAACTAAATACAAAACGAATGGCTGCAATGAATAAAAAAAATAAAAATGTTTTTTAATCGAATTGGATATGAAAATTTACAGAAAAAAATATTTTACACGTAATTGAAACGTTTGCATACATATAAAACGTACCATATGGTACAATTGTCACAAACGAAATGCAAACGTTTCTCGTTGGGGAAAATGACAGTGAATCTTACAATTTGTTTCTGACTATGTACAAAACTGTACAAAACCACAAATGATATGATGATCGATGAGCAAATGGGAATTGTTTTGTACAGTTTATTTTCGTACCCTGGTTGAAAGGTGAATAAAAAAGGTTAATCAAAAACGCCAAATTTTCGAGTTGTGACTCTTTTTTTTTAAAGACGGTGTGCGATATGTGCATACATTTGCACGTACATATGTATGTACATATATTATTTCACTTACCTTCTCATTGCGTGATGACCGCGATGAACGTGGCTCCTCAGCCTCCTCGCCACCTGTACTGCGCCCCTGCTCCGATTGCAAATTCGGATTTACTTCGCAAAATTCACGCCACTTGGCGGCAACTAACATCATTAGCTTGGGCGCTGGTATTTTGGGGTTTTCCTTTTGTAATATAGGACGAACATGTTGTGTAAATGATTTGTACGATATTAAATTTTGCATATCTGTTTCGGTGTAATCAATTTCAACATCGGTGACATTGAAGGCAGAACAAACGTCTTCGACAGATGGCATGCCTTTGAATTGAAGAAAACAATAAAAACAAAGAGTCCTTAGTAAATTTGATTTAGAACTAAATAATTGGTGTAATCGATGGTACTGAACGCTATTTATGGGCGCTGAAAAAGTGATGCTTAACTGGTCAAATGTTTTTTTTTTGATCACAGGACAAATGGTCACGACAAACAACTAATTTTTAGCAAAAACAAAACCGACTTAAAAATATATATATATATGTATATTCCATGATCCAATGATCGGATCTAAACCAGATAACCAGATTAGTATTGGACCACCTCTGAGACACTACCTTTCCAATGCAAGAATTATCGAAATCGGTTGACGTGGTCCAAAGTTACGCGGTAACATACACAAAAAAAAATAAATAAAAATAAAATCCGACGAACTGATAACCTCCTCCTTTTTTGGAAGTCGGTGAAAAAACACAGGCAAACTGATCACAGGACATTTGAAAAATGATAACAGGATAATTAGATCATACGGAAAATACATAATAATAAATTGTCGGAATTTCAGTATATTAAGTATATAGAACTACCATAAAACACTATGAGCGAAGATAATTCAAAATATCGGCCCCTTCATCCCACGCCGACACCACTGCGTAGATGCGAGCATTATAATCACAATATTTCTTACAATTTCGAGTTGCAACGAGACGATCAGTATTGAAGTGCTTCCAACTCATCTCCGACGATGCTTGCTCAAATTTTAAAGCATTAAGCACATTTCTCCAACTGCTCGTGCCGCCTACCTTTGAAAGGCATTATGCCAACCTTCCGTTATATCATTGGTCCTCGGCTCATTACATTATAGGGGCGCTATAATGATACACAACACGTCCACACTCGTAAACTTATTTTTGAGTCGTAGATTACGGATCCGTATATCGTTTTTCTAGATCTGGTAATTTTCCGAAGATATTTTCATTTTAAGTTTTGAATTGCGAATGTAAAAAAAAAAAGTTTCAACATGAAAATGTTACTCATACGCCTATTACGAGTATGTAAGACTACGGCCATGTATGATATGTATGGCGTATGAGTATGAGTGACCACGTATTTCATAGCTCAAAGAAGTACAGAAACTGAAAACCAAAAATAGTATGAAAGTAATGAGAAAATGGTAAAAGCAGAATATGCCAAACCGTTTACAGTCTACCAATTCAACAAATAAATTTTATTAATTAAAAATCTATATTATTTATTCTAGGACAAGGCGCTTATTCCTAGCGAACTACTACATAATTATACAGAGACAATTCATGTATCAAATTAAAGTGCTCGATCTGAAACTTTGCACGAACATTTCAGATTTAAAAATCATTGGAAATATTTGCATGGAAAATTTTTTAAAGTCTTCCATTGAACACAGCATTGCCACGTTCATTTCAACAGGCAGCATTTTTGGCACTTTCATTCACAGAGGTTCTTTTGGCACAATTCATCCTGTTTTGTGGCAAAACCATAAAATATAGAAATTTAAAATTAATCATTAAATAAAAGTGCAAGTTTCTGCAATATCCCGAGGATTTTTGATTTCTTTTTTTTTGACGGTGTCATACATTTTAATCCACTTAAAAAATTTTCGAACACACTTTATATGGGAAAAAATACATAAAAAAGCGAAACTTGGATTCTTCCTAAAAATTCTGAAATAAAAAGTTTGAAATGCCGGTTTGTGTACATAGATACATATATTGTGTTTATTAAATTATATAATATCAATCCAAAAACAAGTAAGAAAGTCAAAGTTCGGGCGCAATTATTAAGTTTGAAGTTTCAAACGTTTCTGAAATTTGCCGTTATATGAAACGCGGCCGTAATTTTAGTCCGATTTCTATAATTTTCAACATTTTGCTTCTATGTGGCAAGCACAATAACCATACCGCACAATGGCACAAATTGGTAGAACGATTACGGAGATACATACATATATGTTGTCATAAGTGGGCGGTCCACGCCCATTTTCCAAAATTTTATTTTAAACGTATTCTTGGTAAAGAATTGTTGCAAGCATCAATTTTGTATAAATTAGCTTTAATATTTACTCATTTATCGACGATTTCGTATTTCTCTAAATTACCGTTATATGAGATGTGGGCATGGTTATTGACCGGTTTTAAAAATTTTCGGCCATTTGGCCACAAGTGGGCGTGGCTACGCTCATTTTCCAAGAATTTATAACATTCCTATTTTTCGTCTAAAACTTATTGTAAATATATATTTTGAGTGAATAGTCTTCAGTAGTTACTAAAATATCGCAGTATTCGTATTTCTGAAAATTATCGTTATATGGGAGGTAGGCGTGGTTATTGTCCGGTTTTGCCAATTTTCAATACCATCCTACGCCCGAAAGAAGTGCACGTACCAGGTTTCGTTCATGAGCACAGGCGGACGGACAGACGACACAGTCACCGCTAAATCGATTTCTCTTTTAATTCTGATCATTTATGTATACATTTTCCTATATCTATCTCGATTTGTTTTGTCTGTTACAAACAAGCGTTATGTGAACAAAGTTATAATACTCTTATGCACAAGTGCGCTCGGGTATGATAATCAATGGAAAGAATAGGCGAAACTGGTAAAAATGCCTCATTGCCATTATTTCGCATATAGGTACATACATACGTATGTAAAAATGTCAGAATAGTTACATTTCGGTGTATTTCCCGTCCGTAATTGGAATTCTGTGTAATTTTACTATGAATTTATGTATACATATATCTAAGGAAGGAACCCTTCATAAAAGCGATTTACTGTAATAATTTCATTAATTAAGTGTATTTTAAAAATATTATTTCTAAAAATATATTACGTTTAAAACGCCTTAAAAGAAATTTAATTTGGTGGCACTTTCATCTTGTTTTCGGCACTATTTTTGTAGACCATTAGGTACATTTTGAAATTCCATCCCTGATATGGAGTGAAAAGGGACTCCCACGTTAACACCTCGAATGGGTGTTTTCGGAGCGCTTCGAATATGAATTGCGAAGGGAGTCAAAGTCAGTGAATTAAAAAAGAAATGTTGAATCGAGAAGAAACTGATCGTTGTGAAAAGGGACACCGCATAAAAAGCTGTTGACCTTATGCCAGTTGCAAATGCATTTAAAGGTAAACAATAATCCATTAAAAATACTCTAATATAGTAAAACTACGTTTTTAGTTTTTCTCTCTGACGTCTGAGAATAAAAAAATTATTCAAAAGATTTGGTGCATTGTAGAATAAACATATGGCTATCAATTAAAAGGAAAAATTTTGTAGAATAGAAAACAAATTTATGTTTTGGGTGCACCAGGACGAATAAGTATTGAAAATGTCCTTTTAAAACTTTATCCTTGAATATCCTTGGAAATTTCCAATATTTATTTTTGAAAAAATATATATCAAAGACTAATAAGTTAACTACCCCCATCCTCGATTTTCGCCCTTCTAACTTAATTATTTTTAGATGCAGACCCCTATTATGAGTCGCATTCGATTTTCGACTGTGGTCGAAAGTGCTGATTGAACGAATTTTCATTTGGTATTATGGCGCTCATTCGATGAACAATATCGCTATTGTGAATTTCGCTCGTTTAGGTTGTTCACAATAGTATATTTTTCATCGCTGAGAAGCTTTGTTTACGAATCGAGCAAACTAAATAGTGTGCTAATATGTATGTACATATGTAAATTTGTGCAAAACAACATGAAATAAAAAAGAAAGCGAGTATATAAAAACATGGTAAAAAAAAATTTAATTAGTACTACGGAGTTCTGGTTGAACGATTCGTCAGAGGATGAGAGCTTAGAAAACTGGCCGAAAGCAAAAAACGTTTAAGAGATTTAAGTGCAGTCTTTCGAATATATTTTGACATACAATATATTTAAATTAATAAAAAAATGTTTAAAATTAGTGTCTAGCCGCCAAAAAGTAAGAAGGCACATGCAAAATCATACATTTTTCTCAGGCAGGAGTTTATATAAAGGGAAAAAAAGGTTTTTAATTAAATTTTATTTATTTTTTGTGTATATAAATAGCAATTTTTGGGTTTAAGTATCAGTTTTCTGGTATCCTTTACAACGATACCAATTTTTTAAAAATCGGTTTATATTTTTTTGTTTAAAATGTTTTTTTTTTTATAAAAAAGGTATTTTTTTCATTTTAAGTGTTTTTCTCAAATTTTTGTATACGAAGAATACAAATATGTTTGTATAACAGAACAAAGGGGGATTAATCGCCTTTACAGCGATACTAAATTTTTGATTTCGGTTATTAATTTTGTTACAATATTTTTTTGTTTATAAAATAATATAATAGTTTAAAAAACTAAAACCTCGCTATTATAATTTCCATTCGTACTGTCAAGTATGTAACTTGAGAATAGAAATCGCTGCATCTTTTAGGCGCATCAATGTTACATAGTTACATCCCGAGCTAATAAAAGGGAGGTAAAAAGGTATTTTTTCCTTTTAAGTGTTTTTCTCAAATTTTTGTATACGAAGTATAGGTTTGATTGCGTTTACAACGATATCAATTTTTTAAAAATAGGTTAGTAATTTTTTTGTTTAAAATATTTTTTTTTATAAAAAAAAGTATTTCTTCCTTTTAAATGTTTTTGTCTCAAATTTTTACGTATGAAGTATACAAATACGCATAGCAAAAGAAATAAAAGGACATTTTCAACACTTATTCGTTCTGGTGTGCCAAAATTTAAAATTTTTTTCAATTCTAAAGAATTTTTCCTTTTGATACCCATATTGTTGCACTACAATGCACCAAGTGTTTAAATAATTTTTATATTCAATCATATCCTAGAAATTTCAAAGTCTTGTTTTAAAAATTTTTGGTATTAATATTAAGAACATTTTGAGAATTGTAAAGCCTCCTTTTCGGTCTATTACCGGACTCGGCTGGTATGTTGGGAACAATACTTTTGAAAAATTTTTTTTTTTTATTTTCAAGTTTACATATAAGACTTGCTTGAAATCCTGGAAAACTTAAAAAAAATCATTGCCGACGAACTGTTTTAAATAAATGTGAAAATAATTCAAATTTCCATGCGAATTAGAAAAGGTCGAGAACTCTCCCCAGAGATGTAAGTTTAATCAAAACCACTTGAAAGCTTGAACAATTTCGTGCCCAGAAAATAAGGACGTACGATAGTTAATAAGGAAATGGTTAATATGTTGCTCGGATAGGAAAATGTTCCCTATGGCATCGATACTGTCGTTTCTGAATATACACAGGAGCAAGTAAGATTCGCCACAGAATTTTTAAAACTCTCTAACACCTTTTCATTTTTCTTGATTGAGTAGCCATTTGTAATGAAATTTGTCAGCTGGAGAAGTGAAGTAATTGAAAGTCATAATTTATGTGTTGATCTACGAGTACCTTTCTTAACTGAGATGGCTAACCTTTTGAAATTTTTCGAAACAGGTAGTACCAAGGCATATCAAATAGGTATTAGAGCAAAAACAACATTTATGTGTATTTTGTTGTTGCTTGTCTAATCGAAAGTGTTAAAAACTGTTCTGATTTTGAGTAAAAAGTAAATTTGGGGGGAAAAATTGGGGCGACTTTCTTTCTTACGTTGCTTTTCAATCGCTTGTTTTGTACGGGAAAAGGTTCCACATGCAAAAATATTTTGAAAATTTATATTTTTTGCCAGAAGAAATTAAAAATATTTGACAATAATTAAAAAAAATCAAATTAGCTGCTCTACTGAATACTACCTGTTCAATGTACTTGGGGTAGTACAAAACATTGCAAAGAAGCACATTTGACTGTACTTCCCAAGTACGAAGTGCAACGGCTCAAAAAGAAGTACTGTACTTCTTGCGGATGAACCAAAATGGTAGCCTTTATATTTAACTTTAATTTGTTTGAGTGGTGTATAGTGCTCCTGACGCACTGCTGCACTTACCGTCACCTTGTGTTTTCATACGTGGGGAAGCCTTAAACAACCGGATGCTGGTATGCCAATGAGTGGGGCGCGGCGAAAATTGCTGGCGGCAGAGATTTAAGCACTTGTGTCTCTTCAATGCTTCAGGATAGTACGCCACCATTATCTTTTTGAAGAGATTCTATAATGTTGAGTTCACTGAGACTGAATGCTGGTTTGATTCCATCGCTGAGACCAGACTCACACATTGTCACTCTGGGTCATGATCTGAGGTATTTTTCGAAGTTAATGGAGATAACCTTCCCTTTTCTGTAGGGGAATATGCTTCGGTCTTCCAGGCTGAGGTAATTGCAATACTCAAAGCCATGGACTACGTGGTGGAACATAGGTGAACAGAAACACCAGAAACACCAACAACGAAAATGAGAGCTTTGAACAGCCCTCTATTTAAGTATTTCTAAACTAGTTCGGCAATGCACGTCTCGACTAAAATATGATGGTGAACATAACGAGGTTGTTTTACTCTGGGTGCCAGGTTACTCAGGAGTACCTGATTATGAGACATCTGATCTCATTTGGCCAGAGTTGGCTCAGACCAGGCACTCCTCGGTCCGCAACCAGTTTTAGCACTCCCACCTTCGGCAATCGAAGCCACCATCAGAAACTGGGTGAATACTTCGCTCAGCAAAGACTGAGAGGCATCGAGGGGATGCAGGTGGGCAAAACTCATGTTGCCTTCAATCTCACAAGGTCTATCTAATTTTTTGCTCTCACTGAGCAGACGACACTGCAGACAACTTACTGGACTGCTGGCTGGTCACTTCACGTCGCACAAACACCTGACTGTGATAGGCGTGGAACACTTTTTGTGCTTCTTGCTTGCTTGGTTATTTGTCATCGATTTTTTTTAACTCGTTCTTTTCTCTATTGTCAGTTTCTGAACTAAAAGTTTGGCGTAAAAAGCTTAGCCGTTTTGATGTTTTAAGTTTTGTGTTTTAAAAAGGTGATAAATATTTTGGTGATATATGTGATAAATAATGTAAATAACGCTAGCGCTCGCAGTGCTCTTAAAAAATATTGCTTNGTAAAAATGTGATAAATATTTTGCCTCACTTTAAAACTCGGAGCGATAAAAATAAAAATGATGCCATTAATACAAATAAACTATTTTACATATACTCCACGTGCAGAGTCATGAGTGAGCGGAACATTGATGGCTTTATGGTGAAGATAATGTAAATAACGCTAGTGCCCGCAGTGCTCTTAAAAAATATAACTCCTCCGAGCGAGGGAGTATTTTGATGTATTTACGAGCTCAATTTTTTAAACCCTACAAGTGTGTAATTACATTATTTTTATTTTTATAAATAGAACACAAGAAAATATTTTACTTTTATTTTGGTCACTCTGAGTTTAGTTTTTGAATTCACCCGCGATGCAAGTTTACATTGTTAGATCTAATTTTCACATATCATGTATCAGCAGGGGGTCCACCGAAACCAGTAAATTTTTGAAAGGGGTCTACGAGAAAAAAGTTTGGGAACCTCTGGCTTAGATGGTAGTCAGTGTTGCGCTCATCCCGAAGGCCGGAGAATGCTCCCATGTTTCGCCTCGGGATTTTAGGCCTATCAGACTCTTCGTTTTCGCTAAAAAAAACACGTCAACTTAAGCCAGACGCGAAAATATTTGATTTTTGTATTTTTCTTTTCAGCTGACGGGTCACTTGGCCGCCTAAAAGCCACATCAAAAAATTCTTTAACAAAAATATAATGCTTCGGACAGTATATTAGGTTACGTTACGTAAATTAGGTCCAGACTAACTGAACCTTTCAAGTTTGTTACTTTTGTTTACGACTAATAATCCGATTTCATGGCATAAGTCTACTTTAAACTTTTGGAAAAAGGTATTTGTTTGATTTCAAACCCAAATGGTTTTATGAAGGCAGATGGTATTGAAACTGTTTGTAACCATCGCACTGAACAACCAAAAAGAAACTGTATATGTACATTACAGCGTACCAGAAAAAAACATCGAATGTAAAGAATTTGGCGGCCGCTGTGGTGTAGGGTTAGCAGTACTGCTCCGAGGGGCCTGGGTTCAAGCCCGGTCCAACCCAACATCAAAAAAAAAAAAAACAAAAAACAAAAAAAAAAATTATTTCCAACAGTGGTCACAACGCTCCTCCGCAAACCTCCGAGTGTATTTCTGCCATGAAAAACAGCTTCTCATAAAAATACAACCACCGCTCGGAGTCGGCGTAAAACTCTAGGTCCCTCTCCTTTGTGTGACAACATCTGTATTAAAATTTTACTGAAACAAGTGCTTGAAGATAATTAGTTTTATTTTCTCAATTTAAAATAAAACAAACTGGACTTAGCAACTTTTCACTTTAAGCTAGCGAGACGTACTTTGTTCTCTCTCATTTTGTTGTTTGTATTAGTGTACTCAAGGATTAATTTGAATTACTAACTAATGCAGTTAAAATCGACTTAAAAAGATGAATGCTCTGAGGCATCCTTGTGCATTTGAAGGTCTAACTTGCAAGCATCTAGCATCAAAACACTAAGTAGACTTACCCGATGAAGTAGATTCCTTCTCTTTTGTTGTAGCCTTCTCAGCCTCCTTGCGCTTGCGGCCACGCTTCGTTGTACTACCATAGTCGACATCTTCGTCATGTTGCATAAAATCACTATCATCGTCGCTATCATTCTTCCTACGCTTCTTCTTCTTGCGACCTTTCTCTTCACCCTTTTTGGTTTTACGTTTCTTCCCCTTCTTCTTTTTGCGACTATCATCGGGATCATAATCATCGTCTTCATCATTCTGTAAATGAAAACGAAGAGAAGAGTATGTATTTTAGTTTTAAAACAATTTGTTAAAATATTTGCTGTTTGTTTTTTTTTGTTTTTTTTTTTATAAAAAAATGTATTTATTACTCACGTTCGGTTTCAATGGTGCATCGGAATCATTTGATAATTCAGCTACTTGTGCAGACTCATCGAGTGCTTCTTCTTCTTCTATAGAATATATAGATGTAGTAAAAAAACGTTAAAAATCAATAAAAATTACGGATAAGCGTTGGGAGATAAAATCAAATTAGAAGTTTTGTGGTCTCGTGCTTGGCGATGTCTATGTATATTATTCTCTTGCATGTGGCGGCGTTTTAATTTCGGTTTCATTTTGTGCAACTATCTGCAGTTCTCACAAGAAACGTTTTTGATTATTTCGGTTGCTTGAGAAAGAACTATGCTGTTGCTGTAAATTTTCTTGAAGAAATAAATATATGCACATTGTTTTTTTGGGAGCTGCATACTGATTTAAGAAATTGTGATAAAATAAAATTTCTTTTCCATTGCTTGCGAGTCATTTTATATATGTAAACTTTTCTTCATTTTTCTTGAGAGCTGCAGAAAGCCCTTGTAATTAAAAAATAAAAAATGTGGACAGCTGAAATATGTCAGAGCTTAAATCGACGCCTCCAAACCACACTACGCTAAGTCTGACTACGTCCAAGTTGACTTAGCATGGTATGGTTTAGGGGCGTCGAATTACTTCCAAAGTGTTCGAATAAAAACGTTGTGATTTTTCGTAGATGCTTACCTTAACTAGCCAAACTTGGGCTTGTTCGAGTTGCAATCACAACCGCAGTGTTGCGCCTGTTATTAAAGTATCACGTTCTGCGTGAATTTCTAGCAATGTATTATTAGTTAGTTGCAACAATGTTGCCATTTTTCGTCAGTACGGCAGTAATTGCGATTTTATTACGTGCCTCGGACAGGCCCCTTCTTATGCCGGTTTTCACTAGGAAGTGTACCACAAATTTCATTTTTCGTCACTGAAAAGTCTAGTAGAAACTCGGCAAAAGTCAGTGGAAACTCGTTGATGGAAGATACAATCTACTGAAGTACGTGTATAATTTCCGTGTGTTTGACAATAAAACAAAACGATTTTTTTTTTTCAAATTATATTTATATTTTTTGTAATTTTTTCTTAAATGTTTGTGTTGTTTGTTTTGTTTTGTTTTTTTTTCGTCAGTTTCCTTTGCATTTCCATTTTACATACTAAGAATATAACAATATCTTTTTTTTCAATTGATTTTTTGCTGGTTTTGTCAGCAGTTCTGCACTTAATATTTTATGTATAGTATATGTGTATGTATATATTTATATAATATGTATGTATATATTTAATGTTTATGCAATAAATTTCCATAATCATGATCTCGTCATACAGAATCATAATTGCAATCAGCGTCGTCATTGTCATTATCATTTATATATTGAATTTTTCTTTTAGTTATCCAAAATTACGTGTTTGTAGGTACTACTATACTAAATAATAATAACTATATGTAATTTATCAAGTGTGTTGTTGTTTTTGTTTTCAGTGTTAGTTTTTTGCTTAATGTGCACAAAAAGAATCAAGTTCTGCTATTACCATTACCATTTCCGTTTTTTTTTTTAGATTTTTGCTGTTTTCTTTTGTTATAAATTTTTGAAGTGAATTCGAAAATGTTCAGGTGAAAACATAAAATATGTTTATATTTCATTTTAGGTATTTTTATTTTATAAATTAATTTCAGTTTGTTTTAAAATGTAAGCACGCTAAATCTCGATTAGTATAAAAACAAAAGTTATATACAAATATTTGATTTGCTGAAACAGTTTTGAGAAATTTTCAAATTTTTTAAAACAGTTATTAATAACTGCTACCTGTACCTGTTAATATGTATAAACAAAAAATATGAAACTTAACTTTAATAAGTGCGCACACATTTTTTTCGTCGTGTAGTCACGTCAACATTAAAAACAAACAAAAACGTATTTTAAATATTGGATTTTTGATGCTTAACGCTTAATGCATACTTCAATCTTTTTGCCTTATTTCTGTAATATTTTCTACTTTTTATTTATATAAAATTTTGTAACTTCTTAATATACAATATATTCATAGTAAGTTTTGTATAACAAAATAAAAATGTATAGCAAAAATTAGTTCGAATGAGTTTTTAGTTATCAAAAAAACAAAACTCATAACAGATAAACATTCGCAGCTAGGAAGATTTAAATACATGCATACATACATTTTTATTACTATACCTATAACTGTTGTTTTTGCATGGATCAGAACATTACGAGCCCTAATCGCCAAAAAAATGTAAGCGACATTTTTTCAACATTTAAATTTTTGGGCCAGATGCTCTAGAAACATTTCTGCATTAAAAAAAAATTTTTTAAAGAATTTCGCTCATATCTTTTTGGCGGTTAGGGCTCGATTAATATGCCGCGTAGCTGCCAAGTCTGAAATTAACCATGTATTTTCTCGATATTTTTCAATTTGATTTATGTAGCTCTGGCACATTTTTAATGTTTGCAACGCATTATGAACAAAAAAAAAAATAAAAATAAAAATATTTACATAAATTGGGCTTAAAAAAAAAATTATGGTAGAAAGGTGTTATCTAAGAAATTCAACGCAGTTAGAAGAAATCTTAAGCGTATGCTACTACGCAGGGTCAAAAATTGCGCTAAAACAATGAGAGTGAAAGAATTACTTTGGGCGAATTCTCTTGAACACGATAAACTGTTGAAACGAAAACTTATCAAAAAGCTTAAGGCTTTATTAAATTTTGAATACAATACAAGTTATTTTTAAGCAAAAACCAAAACCGACTTCAATTCTCATATAAAATATATATATATATTTTGAATTATATATATATATATATATATATATATATATTTTATATGAAATTTTAAGTAAAACTAAAAAAATATTTTTGAAATGTATATCAATTATTAATAAAAAAAAATCAAGTAGTTAGTATTCACATTGAAAAAGCATGGAAAAGTAAAATAAAATTATAAATTCACATATCACACACTCTTCTCAAAAGAGGCACAACTCAAATATCAGATCCGCATATATCGTCGCCTCAGAAAACGGATGACGAATGTGCAAACTCACGATTTTGGGATTTTGATGCAGATTTACTAAGTTGGACATGCTCTTTCGATTTCTGCAATCCATTTTTTTATATCTCCATTAGTTTTTGAGATATTTCGTGCGCATTTTGTCGTATGTTACATAATATTAATGATTGGGTATGCCTTTTGTTGTATGTGCTGAAAATGCGTCACATACGACAAATTCCCATACAAACGTACCTTTTTTTTAATCATAAAACGTTTGTCGTATGTGGCACATACGACAAATTCCCATACAAATGTAATCTTTTTTTAATCATAAAACATTTGTCGTATGTATCGCAAAACTTTGAACTTACGACAATTGGATGGTCCGCTACTATAACGATACAATTAAAATTGAAAATTAAACTAAGTAACTAATTTTAAAATTTTAAATTTTTAAATTTTAGCTTGCACTGAGTCTCCAATGAAATGAAAGAGATAAAAATGTACAAAAGACTGAATTTAAGTATTGTTTTTTGTTTTTATATAAAGAAAACGTATGTTCGTAACATATTTACAGCATAAGAGATGTACAGATTTTTTTTATTAAATACATGATTATGTTTTTGTTATGTTTTTTCTAATAAGTAATCATTATTTAATAAATATGTCTGTTTTTTTCATCAAATTATACCATCGTCGTTGAAATAGATACTTTACTATTGTCGTATGTTCTGTGGACAAAACAAAGTGGTGAGTAAACGCTACTTACGACAAATGTATACGGAATGAAAAGTAAATTTTCTCATTAACGTTAAGAGATATTAAATGTAAAAATATGGGAAATCAAAACTAATAACACCAACTACGTCTCCTTCAAAAGTTACAAAAATCTACCGTACAGTTTCGGATTAATTCGACCTTAAACTTCAAAGTCAATTTTCTCAAAACCGTGTTTTGTAACATTCGACATCCGTTTTCTGAGACGACGATATGTACATATAACTGCTTGTGGATCGTACAGATTCAACGCAATTAATCAGGGCTAGCTATCACTGAATCCATCGTAGCGATTTTTCATGAAATCTATGAAAATGCTATCACTGAATTCGAATAGCTAAGAACGTAGCATATACTTTGAATGCAAATGTTCGCAGAAATTCGGTTTCAATGATTGCATTTTCTTGAGATTTCACGAAAAGCGGACTACGGTGGATTGTGATGGCCTTCGGGGCCAACAAAAACATTAATTACAGTAGTTTCCTTGTTATGTCGATTGCAAGTAGTTTTTTTTATGGCATTGCCTAAAATTTCGACGCGAATAAAATATTTACATTAATTGGAGATAAATCCAATCTCGATTTATTAAAAAAAAAAGCGGCTTAAATTTTGTTTGGGTTGTACCTTTTTTGAAGAGGGAGTTCCATATGAGAAGGATAACGTTTTTTGACCAATTTTTACATTGGTTATAAAAGAGTTATGTATGTATTTAAACGATGTTTGGTTTAAGTTTAGGAAATTTAATTTTAGCAAACTGTTACCAATTTGTAATACATTTTTAGTTTTTATTTATTTGCTTAATTGTTTTTTTTTTACTTCTGCTGTCATAAATTTGCCGATTAAGCTTAAACCAGATTTCCGCTGAGTATTGAAATGGCAAAAAAATTTATGAGCCGAGTATTAAAAAATCCATTTCATTAAATACCTAGTGGAAATACGGCCTTATTGATTTTTAAAGAGTTTTAGCGAAGATTAATTGACTACCAAAATTTTAACTGGCTATTGGCACTTCATGCTACAGTTTAGTTAGAGGCTTGAAAAGAGTGTGCATATTCCTTTAAACAATTTACAAAAGCAACAAATTGGGTAGAATAAAAACCAACATAAAATGTGTGGTGATTTCTGAAACTGAAACTGAAAAAAAAACCAAAACCCATAGTCGAAGATTTTTTTTTAGACATTTTGATAGTTTAGTCAAAGTTCCGAGACTTTCCGACACTTTCCTAGCTTCAAGTAATAAAAACCTTCAGAAGTTTTTGGAGGCGTTTGCAGCATACAATTCTTGGAGACTTATCACTGTGTCAAAAAATAAATAAAAAATAAAAAGAAATAATTTACTTTACATAAGAATAACAAAAAAGAAAAACCAGTACACTTTCATAACTTCGTTTTACAAAAATTGCACAATGCGCATTTTATTATTTGGCTACATACATATTTATAAACAAAAAGTTTTATAGAAAAATTAAAAAATGTGCGAGAGAATATAGGCAAAATGCAGTTACTTAACAAAAATAAGAGCAATAAAATATACTACAAGGCATAACTCCAAGATTTTTGTCAAAGCAGCAGAATTTTTTAGTCTACGTACACTCTGGAAGCGGTGCCGTTTCGGGGCGAACCGAAACTTCCATATTATTGCTGTAACTATATGGGTATTTCCAATCTGGAGTTACGTGACAATTGTATGAAAAAATGTTTAAAAAAGTCAAAACTTGAAAAAGGTTGTCCTAGCTTTGCATAACAATTAAATGACCCCTTATTCGGTAAAATTGTTACAACCGTTGGTAATGGTGATTTAAAGAGGAACACATAAAGATAACCAACCGTTCAGCTATGGGAAAACTAAAAATGCAGACCGATAGTACTTTTAACGCTCATTTCAACTACATATATATATATATATATATTATTTGGCGCAATTGAAAAGTAAAGAAGATGGTAAGAGGTAAATTTTTTTTTCGAATATTAATATTTTCTAAAAAAAGTAATGATGTCAAAATAATGACAAATTATCTATCTTCAAGTTGATATATAAAATGTGTAAGCTGGTTTATATACTTGAGCCAAAAATATTAAAAAACAAATAAAGTGTTATAATTTTTTCATAAAATAACATTTTTTAGAAAAAAAGTGGGCAATCAATGCTTAAGAAATATATATTATTTAGAAAGTTCTTACCTTTAATTTGATATACATATTTTATTATGATCTGCTTTTGAGGTACGTAGTTTAGAAAATATTAATATTTTAAAATATCACAACTTGTTTTTAACCTCTCATATATTATTTACTTTTCAATTGCGCCAAATAATAAAAGTACTATCGATCTGCATTTTTAGTTTTTCCACAGCTGAACGGTTAGTTATCTTGATGTATGCCTTTAAAGTAAAGAAGTGTACGACTTTGACTTAGGTTGAAAAATAGCAAAACTCTGCGAATTGGGCAAGACTATTTGTATAAAAGTTTTTGTAGTAATATCAGGCGTGACGTTACGTTACTAAAATTACCGTTGAAAAAGTTTTGTTAATATTGTTCTTGAACGAGTTCCATTTTTTTTTTTTTCTTTTGAAATCTATGTCTTTCTATGTTTCAAGTAACTTGCCAAATGTGAAACAAATTAGAGCATAAATACGGGTTTTCAAAATATCTCGACCCTGGCGCCACCTAACGAGACCATTTTTGCCAAACATCTTTCTGCTTACATAACCCGTATATATTATAAAAAGCAGCTAAATCGGCCTATGAATAGATTTTTTTTTCCGCTGGAAACGCTCATACATGCTCCGGCGTTATGGAGCGTTAGTTTTTGGCTTGTCTCTTTTATTTTTCCAGCAGCGTAACGCTGCTGTGAACAGGAAGAAAACATAATTTCATGCAAATTTATTTTTCGATATATCGCTCAACGTACATTCCACTAATATTTTGACCACTTTTCGATGAAGTGAAGTTTTGTGGTATCTTGGCAGCGAAAAGCTTCGCTCCGCCCCGCTCCGTGCGAACACCTGTAGTTTCGCTCGAAACAGCACGCGCTCCATGCACTTGAAAGAGTGTGTGTGAAAATGTGTGTGTATGTTATGTAAAAATTTTATATATTTTTTGTTTACTTTTATATTTTTAATTTAATGATTTAATATTTTTTACAAGCAAAGTACGTAGTAGGTTTAATTGAGCTCATTGCGTATATGCAGTTTTTTATAATCTAATAGCGTTTTCTTTTCTGTCGAAAAATGTTACCTTCTTATTACCTTCTTCGCACAAATACTAAGGAGAGGCAATAAAAAAGGCTACAAGTACATATATACATAATATATTTTTAATTTTTGCCTGCGCTTAACTAATTTTAGTCATCATTGTGGGAACGAACACAGGTTGGTTTTCACGGATGGTACTCCGTGAGAAAAAATTCTACCTAAGCAGCATGAAGTTTTAAACCAATTTTCGCGCATTTCACCCACCCACCCTCTATGAAAATGTAAAAACAAAAAAAAACATACATTGTGAAAATAAAAAAACTATTTCATACCAAATTTAACTGAATATTTTGAGTTTTATTTTTTGTTTTTTTATTTTTATTTTTTAATAACTTCAAGTTCAACAATTGCTTGTAAATTAATTAACTATTACAGCTGAGCCCTCCCACACAAAAACGGTTGCGTTGCAATAGCATTTCCAAAATTTTATGTACTGCACATGTATGTATGTATATAGTAATGCATGTAAAAGCATAAACAGACGGCAGCGTTGATCCGGATCAACTCGGGATTTAACTGCAGTTGATCCGGATTAAGTCCGAGTTAATCCGGTTCAACGCTGCCGTCTGTTTAAGCTTTAAGACGGCAATCAAAGCATTAAAATTAAAACAAATATAGGCAGTTGCCGCTTAATTCTAATTATTACACAATTAATTCTTTGCTTAAAATTTCTGCTTGCTCTAGTGTTTTTTCTCTTTCTTCCTCAATTGTTTTAAAAATATATATGCATGTATGTATGTATATATATGGTTTTAATATTTAAATGTAAGTATGTTTATATAAGGTATACATATGCGTTTTTTTAATAACAATAAAATATTTTTTTGAGGATTTTGTTTTTTTTTCACTGCACTTTCCAATTCACATTTTTTAACATTCCTACCCTCGCATGCAATACAAAATTCCTAACTCTAAAGTGATTTTGCAACCAGCACGTATTTAAAACCGTTGGCAACTTCCGGTTGCGATTGCTACAACCGAAAAATCATATTTACAAAAACAAACTAGTACATACATATATTTGCATGGCTTACTTTTTTTCGACTCTCGCGGCGACTGCTTAATTCATACAATGGAAAGACATTTTCGCAATTAAAAACCACAAACTGACTTCATTCATTAGGAAGCTAGGCTCGCATGTGAATGTAAGACATAGAAAAAAGGCGATAATCACCAAGTCCCTAAATACGTCTTGGTTGCAAACTAATTCTCAGGACGTCTCCTTTGTGTCTTATGCCCTTTTTACATACAGCGGCGAAGCGAAGTTTCACTACAGCATGTGCACAAAAATCAATACCGCTCATGCTCATGTTCGCCATCGCCTTCATCATTCGAATTGGAATCAGAGCCATCATCATCATCGTCGTCGTCATCGTTCGAATCATCATCGTCATTAGAGTCGTCGTCGTCATCATCATTGGAATCCGACGAATCATCTGAATCTGTATCATTTTTATTGTTGTTGTTGCGTTGCTGATGTCTCGCTACATTCTTTTCATCAACTGGCAAATGCTGGGACTGGTGCTGCTGATTACCATGGAATTGTTCCTGTTGTAGCTGAGGTTGCTGTGTGCTATATTGGCCACCAGCAGGCGATTGGTGTGGCGACGACAAATATTGATGTTGCTGTTGTTGGTTGTGCTGTGTGTGTTGTTGTACATTACTGTACTGTGAGTGGTGCTTCTTCTTTCTATACACCACAGTTTCTTCATGTAGTGGCGTATATTGTTGCTGGTCCTGCTGCTGCTGATGTACATATTGATGACTTTGCTGTTGTTGCAGCGGCGGCTGCTGCTGCTGCGCATAGTGTTGCGCTTCTTGCTGATAATCGCCAGGCGGTGAATGATTACTTTCACCACCACTCACCATAGGCGAGACGCGTGCGTTATGCGCAGTCGCCGCGGTCAATACATTGCTCCTGCCATCGACTAGATGCGATGTCGCATCTGCGGCCAAATGCATTGCTGCCGTTGCCGATGCATGCTGCTGCTGTTCCTGCTCTTGTTGTCGTGGCTGTTGTTGTTGTACCGCAGCCGCAGCTGCTGCGGCTGCCGCCGCTGCCGCCATCGAAGTCAACGTCTTATCATAGTCGGTCACAAGCTGTTTAATGTGCGCCAATTTGGCATGCAAGTAATCGAAACGTTGCTTGTCGCGTTTCAGCTCTTCCTCGTTGTTGATGCGCTCATATTCGGCCACAATTTGCTGCTTAATGTGCTCATAGTCAGAGCAGCCTTGTGGCGCACGTTGCAATTGATCGGCAAGTACCTGGAAGTTGCGGCGCACATCTTCGATGCGCTCCAACAATTGGCGATACTCATCGTAATCCCGTTCAAATTCAGTCTTGTATTGGCGTCGCTGTTCGATGCTTGTAATAGCCGTATAATTGCTAAAGTCATAGCTTGGCGTTTCAGCAGCGGCGTCTGTGTCAACTGTATCATGTGTGATGGCGGAATGCTGCGGCGTTGTTGTCGGCATTTCCGTTGGACTTTCAAACTGCGTTGGCTGTTGTTGTTGTTGCGGCTGCTGATGAGAAGGATAATGGGGTGGTTGGTTGTTATGCCGTTGCACTGGAGAGTATGTGCTGGCGGAATGCGTCGTTTGTTGCGATTGGTAATGTGGTGCCTGGTGTTGCAGCGCATGCCGTTGTTGTTCCTGAACTGGTGAAGTGGGCGTGCGCATGCCACTGGTGCGTTGCTGCTGTCTACTACCGGTTGTCGCTGTTGGCACCGCCGCCGCCGCGGAGCGTGACGTTGCTTGTGCTCGATTGCTGCTGCTGCCGCTTCTCCCCGTTGGCACATAATCCTCACGCTCATTGACACCGCTGTGCGTGGCTGTGTGCATTTTCGGTGAGTATATGACACTAATATTTGACTTTTGTTGCAGCTGCGGCTGCTGTTGCAGGTAACTGGGCGACTGGTGACGGTAATTCCCACTTCCCCCGCGATTGTTGCTGCCGCTGCTCACATCGCGACCAGCCGACCTGCCGCTGCTAGTGCTACTGCTAGACTCTGGAACAAAATTGGCACCATATGGCAGCCCACTTTTTGGTGAGCTTGCTAAAGCCGCACGCTTCAGTCCATGTTTCATACTGCTACTTTTGCTGCCTTCGTTTTCTTGTACACTATAAATGTTGCTGCCGCTGTTATTGCTGTTTTTGGGCGAAATGTTCGTACCACTAGACGAACCGCTGCTACCTCCAGAGTGTCGATTTTCCTTCGGGTTGTTACCAGCTGACTTACCGCTGCCGCTGCTGTTTGATTTTCGCATTCCGCCACTTCCGCTGCTATGTGGCAGATAACTACTACCTTGCTGCTGCTCTATATTCAACATAAAGTCGTCCATATTGTTGAGCACGTTGTAGCTTAGATCAGAATTGCCAGAGTTCTCATCAGCATGCCCAGCATTACGGGAGCCTTGTGGAGAATAGGCTGACGCAGATGTGGCTTGTTTGCTGCGCTGCATCGGATAGCCAGTGTTTGCCCCACTGCTGCTGCTGCTGGCGCCCATTCCAGCATAGGCAGCACCCCGCGACCCATTACTCGGCGCACCGCCACTACTTGTGCTCCCCGCCGCATTAGCGGTGTTGGCAGCAGCTATTGCGTCCTTCTTAAAATGACTAATACGTTGCTTCTTCGGCTGAACTGCGCTCACGAATGGCTCATCGTACTCCAGACTAGTGCGTTTCAAACTATTGCCGCCGCTCAAGCTACTACCACCGCCCAGTGGTGGAGGACTGCCAGTATGTATTGACGTTGGACTTTGACCCGACGTTGAGCTGCCCGCGTCTGAACTGAGCGGCGGTGTTAGATTTTGCGGCTTCCGGCGTTTCAATTGCTGCAACTCCTGTTCCGTATAGTATGGCCAATTCTCGTTCACATCATTCCACATTTGACGACGTAAGTTGTAGGTGTTGTCGCGAGACAGCGTCGCAATGTCCTTGAGTATATTGCTAATCAGTGAACGCTCCCGATCACGCAGTCCTTCGTTTTGGAGACGTGAATATAATTCAGGCTTCTTGAATGGCCGCAAGGCAAGTAAATGTATTAGCCGTTCGCGTATTTTTCGACGCGATATATCAGGTAACTTGCCACCACCACTATTGGCATTTGAAGTACCACCACCTTTGGCGCCGCCACCGCCCGACTTCGAGCCGGCCCCACCACCCCGTGAGAAATTGCCACCATTGCCGCCAGCAGCATTATTGCTAAGTCTTGACTGCTTACCGCTGCCGCCGCTACTACCAGCTAATGTAGATGTGGCGGTCTCGGGTGGTGAATTGTGTTGTGCAGCGGACGCGTAGCCGTTAGCGATGCCGCCTGCCAGGGTGGAAGAGAGCGATGAAGCGGACGTTAGTGATGGCAGCGATGGGGAGACGTTGCTTTGAGAATAAATATTGCTTGTACCGCTGCTGCCATAACGGTTAATAGCGCTGCTGCTATTACCGCTACCACTGGCAACTGTGCCGGACCCACCCAACAACGTGGGGTTGGGCGAGCGTGAAGACGAGGAGCACGAGGAAAACGTTGTGCCGCCATGTTTGTTATTTAACGATGACGAATGTTGTGTGGCGGCTGGCGGCGAATTACTGTTCAGCGATGATACTAATTTACTACGACTAAGACTACTTAAATAATTACTACTGCTACTACTGTTGTTAGTGTTGCTGTTGCTATTTCCACTATGCCCCAAATGCTGATAGATGGCCGACGAAGGTACAGACTTCTTCACCTTGCGTCCAATGTCTGTTTGATTTGGTTTAATTTCACGTATACACTTGCTCTTCTCCGTCTCTTCGGCAATTGCCATTTTGGTACGGGTCGTGTCATAGATATCATCGTTGGCATGTATACGCATGCGATATGGTAATGAGCCGAGTACATCGAGACCTTCAGAGGTCTGTTGTATGCACTCAAGGGAGCCCTCAACATCATCGATAGTAAAACCAAATTTACGGCCTTCATTGCTATCCAATGTGGGAAAAAAGATGACACCGGAGTTGCCATTGACTTGAATTTTGGCACGTTGACCATTTGTGAAACGTTTGGTATTCTCATTGTGTTGATATTCCTCGATGGCGCGATATGCAGAATCGGTGAGTTTGACAAAGATATATTCCTTAGATTCATCGGTGTAACGGTTTTGTGACATGCCATAATTGCCGGACGTGAGTGCAGATGGGCATTTTGCAGTGGCGATCGAATGTGTCATAACGCAATACAAACAAACTGCGTGGAAGCTGGGTGGCGGTGGTGTGTTTGATTGTTAATTCAACAATAATACAATTGATGAAACTCAC